TTTCCGCCTGTTTTCTGCATGTTTCTCTGCGTGCTTCTCCGGTTGCTCCCCCGCCTGGTTCTTCTCCGGTTACTTCTCCAGTTGCTCCTCTCCCTGCTTCTCCAATTGCTCTTCTGCCTACTTTCCGCCTGTTTCTCCGGTTGCTCTTCTGCCTGTTTCTCTAATTGCTTTTCCACCTGTTTCTCCGTGTGCTTCTCCGGTTGCTCCTCCGCCTATTTATTCTCCGGTTGCTCCTCCACCTGGTTCTTCTCCGGTTGCTTTTTCGGTCACTTCTACAGCGGTCGCTCTGCCTCTGGTGGCTCTCCTCCACAGAAGAAGCAAAAAAACGTGGGTTTTTTTTAATTCATTGTCCGGAATGGATCCCAAGGACAAAAATCGTTTAATATGTTTTCCAATAATGAAATATATAAGTATTTGTAAATATAGTTATATATGTATAATGGGCAACATCATAATTAAAATTTTTTAATATAGTATACTAATCGAAATACATATATACACAATAAATAATATTATTATAAATACAATAATAACAAAAAAAAAATTTAAATGTCTGGATTGAGAATTAATGTTGCTCTGTTTTTAGACTCCTATGTTTTGTTTCCTTGGTTTTTGTTAAACTTTTTCTAATAAAAAACTTCTTTATATATATAAAAAATATTAAAAATAGATGATATGGTAAGTTTAAATATTATATTTAGTTGGATAAATCTCGTAAATATATGAACTTATTTTATAAAATTAATAAGAATAATGTAGAAATTTTCACCGCATATAGTTTTAATTGAAATATTCTCATTGGTTATTTTAAATATATGTTCCTTAAAATCTTCGATGAATAACACTTATGATTTTTTAACCAAAACGTGTGCTATTACAATCTCACAGCCGAAGTTTTCTAAAAATTAATTGTAGAAGTTGCGAATCTTTGATCGTGATTTTTTCAATGTTGGGAATTAGCCGTTTTTTAAAACCTAAATCATTTACGTCGAATGGATTTGAACCAGTGAATTATAGTAAAATCGAAGTTGAGAGCGAGATGACTACAACACAGTGTTTTTGAATCCGGCAAAAAGCCTAAATAATTAGTTGGAACGTGGAGCTAGACTTCATAGGTCTTTGATAACCCTTTGATCCCTAGGATTCCTCTTTCTGCGCCTTTAATCTCTTCCCTCTTGCTTTTTAATCACCATTAAAAATATTTTAAACATAAATTAACACGAATTAGATCATCAAGTCTACTACGTCCGCTTCTGATTTCTTACTTAACTTAATCTAACCATCACATCAAAAGATTATATATTATACAAAAACATGCACGCGCATATATAGAAATATAGTATGGTCCTTCTTATTTTAAATTGAATTATACTATAATATTTGCATCTTTTCAAGAAAAACGATTGATGGAACCATATTGTGTTAAGAAACAAAAAAAAAATCAAAATTTTATCCCAATTTTTTTATTTTTCTCTAATCGTGAGAAATGTATGCATCTAAGATTTTTTTATATATAACATTTAATTTATGTAGGGATGTTTATATTTATTGTGTGGACAAAGAACAAAGAAACGGTGCACAAGGACAAATGATTTGAGTTATGTTTGTATTCTGGATAACCATTAAACAAACAATATCAATCGGAGCTAAGATCCGAGAGATGAGAATCCGAGGAAGATGAGATTTATAAAATAATAGAGGAGAAAACAAATTAGTTTTGGTTAAAAAATGAAGAAAAAAAAAGGAACAATTGCTAGAGAATAAGGCAACCAGTATTGGTTTCACATGTTCGTGTCGACAGGCTTGCTTTGTGTCTTTGTCTTTGCATGCATCTAATCTACTTCACCAATTTTTCTTCCACCATTTATTAACTCGATTATTTAGTTATATGTATTTTGAATCCGAACAATGAAAATGAAAATGCCAAAATTGAGAAAACTGGCCAAAATTCAAACAGAAATAGATAAATAAGAGCATCATTGAATATTGTACCTATAGTTTTTGGATGGGAATGTGTAAAAATACTTTTTTGAAAAAATTGTTATTATTTAATAGAAAAAATAAAACTGTCTGAACCGTGTACTATATAAACTTACATAAATAATTGATTACATTTAATATCTAGTTAACCATAATTTCTTCCCTAATTTTTTTTTGGGTCGAATTTCTTCTCTAATTTCTATTGCACATAACTTACACCGCCACGGGCTCCAACGACTTTAGAACATCTCCAGTGGAGATATCTAAGTGAGATATCCATATTAAAATAATGATTAAAGTATGCAAAATAAATAGAGAATAAGAAACTCATATCCCATTTGTTTTTTTTATTAGTTCTATTTTTTTTTACTAGCATAAAAATAAATAACATAATTAAAATGTAATGAAAATAGTATTATATTTATGAGAAACTCTTAAGAGTATCATAAAAATATTTCAATGAGATACCTTCAATGGAAAATGGAAGTTATTTTAGTGTGCCATTACGCACTTTTTATTTATTTATTTATTACTATTTTTTTGAAACTTTTTTTTGGATTGTATCTCATTCTTCATTTGGTTTTGTATCAAACTAGTATAATTACAAAGACATTTTTATAAGAGAAATTATAACTTGGAACAAAAACAATTATTCCAAAACTCAGTTATGTTTTCTCAACAAAAAGAAAAAGAGTTGGGTTTTGTTTTAAGTGATTTACCCGATACAAAAAAAAAACCGCGAGTACGCTTTTTCAGGTCTCTACTGCTACGCGATGCACAAGAAGCTACCACAACCGAGGACCACGAGGTACATCACTCGAAGTTACAAGAGTTGTGTTGTCTTGGTTGTCGCATGCAGTTTTTTTTCGTGAGGAATCTGAAGTGCTGGGAGTGTAAAGCTAGAACAGCCAGACCTCCAAAATCGAAACTTTTGGAGTTGGAACTTGCTTTGGATATTTGTAAACGAGCATTCAAGGAACGAAATTGGGATGATGATGACAAGACGACTTTCCTCATCATCTCGAATGATGATTTCTTCAATCATGTGGTTCGAGCAGCTTTGGTTAGAGAAGAATTCACTGTGGTCACAGGAATCCTTGACGGAATGATTCGAGAAGAAATGTTTCGTTACATCTAGATTAACCGAAATTAAAATGATGCCAAGAATTTAGCTAAAAAAATTAAAAACACAATCAATTTCTATACTTCTCAATATCATTTCAATTTGTTGGCCATGGGTAGCTTTTTCCCTTGTAATTTTATGGAGTTTCTCTTTTTTGTCCACCAATTACTTTTGATTTTCGGATGAGCTTGATTAGTAAAAATATCACAATTGTCATAGTTGTTTTTGGCATGGAATCGTTATTTTTGATTAGATGGTGATTAAGTTATGATTCACAAGTTTAAACGTCTGACGGTGATGCTTTTGTATATATTTTCTAATAATTGTTTGAGATAATATTACAATCACAACTTGATTCTGAATCAAAGATTCTTATTATCTCGATTAATCTATTTTATAGGGTAAAACATGGATTTATTTTGGTTTAGGCGTTTTTCGTACGAAATATTGTTATATGTCCCATTATCTTTTCGTTGTGTTACATGTTAAAAAAATAAAACGAGCATAAATAGCATTAAGCACAAACCATTCATCCATGACTTAAATAGATAACGAGAAAACAAACAAACAAACATGACAAGAATAAATTAGTTTAACCAAACACATAATAACCAAGAAGCAAACATGTGTGTGAAAGACAGATTAACAATTTGAGAAAGGATAAAACCTTGATTAAATTCACCGCATCGTTAACAAAACCTTGGATTTCTTGAGCAGGTGGTTGATGTTGAGCTGGTTAAACATGCATACAGAGAAGTCTTGACCAGATGAAATAAGCACCTACTCCACATGTAGTAAGGAGATTCATTGATGTGGATGCAAGGATTGACGATAAAAGCACATTGTAACCATTTCAGGTCAGTGTTCTTATCGCTCCTCCAAAGCCTCCATCTCCAGATACCAACAAGATATTAGTTGGATGATAGTTGTCTCTAAAAAATAAAGCACCAAGAAACGTTTAATTCAGGCCAATTATACCTCTTCAAAACTAGATGGAACCGACAGTCTCGACCAATGCATGTAATGTAGTTTCAGGGCAAAAAGTTTTGATTTTCATCATGTGAGAATGAACAGTGGTTTGATGGAGGAAATCTAGGAAGCAGGATGATATACATGGATTCAAGAAAAAACATCATATTGAAATTTATATTCACAACTTAATTTATATACTTTTCGAAGTATATTGGGCTTTGATGGTCGACAAAGCAGCCCAATAAGTGTATATGGATCACGATTTATCCAATGACGTGACACATTTATGACTTTTCCACCAACTATTTTTCGGGTTAAAGATTTTTAATTAAGAGTCCTTTTTAATTTTTTTTTATCCCGTCCTTAATCGCCTTTCTATAGGGAACACGATAGAAGATAATCCAACGGCGATGATCTTGCCACGTGTAAACTCTACGTCTTCATCTTCCAATCAACGATCGAGTTTTGGTTAATTTGTAGCCAATTAGACTCATCGGCTCATATTAAGCCTTTTTCCTCTTTCTTCAGCATTTTTCACACAACCAACTTCAGCGACAAGATAACAACTCCGGAAGAAGATCGGAAAAAAAAAATGGCGGAGAAAAGCTTCAAATACGTCATCCTCGGCGGCGGAGTCTCGGCCGTAAGTATCTTTCTCTCTCGTAATCCTTTGGAGTTTCGTTTTTTTCAGCCAAATAGTTTCGATTTTCGGATGAGCCTGATTTGCAAAAATATCACAATCCTCATAGTTGTTTTTGGCCTTGAGATCGTTGCTTTTGATGAGATAGCGATTAGGTTCTGATTCGTAAGTTTAAACGTCCGATCGGTTTGAGATAATATTACAATCGCAACTTGATTTTGAATCGAACAATCGTAGTATGTTTGTTTCAGCTCAGATTAATCGTAGAACATAGTTACGTACTGTTGATAAAGATAATTCCAGTCGCACTTACCAAAGAATACAGAAGCAAATTCGATTTTCTGATCCTGGATTTTGTTGTATCCTCTTCACCATTGTGTAGGGATACGCAGCTCAGGAGTTTGCCAGTCAAGGGGTTAAACCAGGAGAATTGGCAGTTATCTCCAAAGAGGCGGTAAGCCTTTTTCTCGATTTGGAGAACTTTTACTTGTACTATGAAGTGTTTCTTGTAACCTATGAACCTTATTTAACTCGATATTGTGCTTAGGTGGCTCCATATGAACGCCCTGCACTTAGCAAGGGGTATTTGTTTCCTGAAGGTAAGACATATATTTCTGATTTTCCCGAAACGTGGCTTTAGATTATGCATTTTTTGTTCTGAGAAACCATTACAATCATCTTTCTGTTGCGTAGGGGCTGCTAGACTTCCAGGTTTCCATTGCTGTGTTGGTGGTGGTGGAGAAAAACTGCTTCCTGAATCTTACAAACAGAAAGGTAATCAACTCTCTGTACATCACCATGATCAATCCCTTGCTCATCTGTGTAGTTCCACTAATCGATGATAAATCTATCCTCCCATGAAATTTATTCAATGCTACATTACCCTGCAAGCTTAAATTATTATGCTACTCGAACTAAATCGTTCTTTGTGTTTGCAGGGATTGAGTTGATACTAAGCACAGAAATAGTGAAAGCTGATCTTGCTGCCAAGAGTCTTGTCAGTGCAGCTGGGGAGGTCTTCAAGTATCAAACTCTCATAATTGCAACTGGTTCTACTGTAAAGACCAATATCCTTGCATTCCTCTTATCAGCAAGCTTCTTATATATTCGTTGGTGAGAAGAAAGTAACTCTTTACTTTCCTTTGCAGGTTCTCAGATTGACTGATTTTGGAGTGAAAGGTGCAGACTCTAAGAATATCCTCTACCTGAGAGAGATTGATGATGCCGACATATTGGTTGAAGCAATTAAAGCAAAGAAAGGCGGAAAGGCTGTAGTTGTTGGTGGAGGTTACATAGGTCTTGAGCTTAGTGCAGCTTTGAGGATCAACAATTTTGATGTCACTATGGTTTTCCCTGAACCTTGGTGCAGTAAGTTGATTCATATCCTTTTGCTATTTGGTTATTCGCATATGTATTACTTAGTTACACCTAATAAAAACAACATTCTTGCAGTGCCTAGGCTTTTCACTGCCGATATTGCTGCTTTCTATGAGACTTACTATACAAACAAGGGAGTCAAGATCATTAAAGGAACAGTGGCTGCTGGTTTCACCGCTCATTCGAATGGAGAGGTAAATCAAATAACCATTTGCTTTAAGAGTGGGCAATCCAGTTATAGAAACTAAGAGCACTTTGGCACAACATATTTTGGTTTGAAAATAGTAAAACGAATTGGATTATAAATGTATTGAGGTTCGGTTTGGTTTATATGATCACCCCTAACCAATTAGCTTTTCCAAATTGTCTCGGTGCTAATGTCTTGCTTTGTTCTTCTCCTCCAGGTGAAGGAAGTACAGCTCAAGGATGGAAGATCATTGGAAGCTGACATTGTGATAGTTGGGGTTGGTGCAAAGCCATTGACATCTTTATTCAAGGGACAGGTCGAGGAAGACAAAGGTGGATTTAAGGTATCTATTTGCTGCGTGTGCGTCTCTCTACTTGTTCCCAAACCATACTGATTTGGATCTTAAACTGCTTACTGTTTCACGCAGACTGACGCATTCTTCAAAACAAGTGTTGCTGATGTTTACGCTGTTGGTGATGTTGCCACTTTCCCTTTGAAAATGTACGGAGACGTGAGAAGAGTGGAGCATGTTGACCATTCTCGCAAATCCGCAGGGCAAGCTGTGAAGGTAAATTATGAATACAGTGAAAGCTGATATTATTAAAACCGTAAAATTTCTGCATTTGCGTTTTTACATATGAAAGCAAATGCATAATCGAGGCTTAGATTCAGTTGTATATCTTCAAGAACCGTGTACGAAACTTTACTTATATGTAATACATTGTTTCAGGCGATCAAAGCGGCTGAAGGAGGCAAAACGGTGGAGGAATACGACTATCTCCCATTCTTCTACTCGCGTTCCTTTGATCTGTCATGGCAGTTCTACGGAGACAACGTAGGAGACTCTGTGTTATTTGGAGACAGCAATCCATCAAACCCAAAACCAAAATTTGGAGCATACTGGATTCAAGATGGTAAAGTGGTTGGAGCATTCATGGAAGGAGGTAGTGGTGATGAGAACAAGGCCTTGGCTACAGTTGCCAAAGCTCGACCTGTTGCAGGGAGCCTCGACGATCTGATCAAGCAAGGCATTTCATTCGCCGCTAAGATTTGAGAGAATCAGCAGAACACATACCTAAGGCACACTCTCACTGTTTTTCAGTTCTGTGATTACAATAAAAAACATGTGTTTGTTAGTACTGTTTGCTAAAATAAGTTGTGTGTTTGTATTGCCTCTTTGAAACTCCATAAGAGTTCATATGGCAGAGGAAACCTGAACCACATTTACATTTTAGATTATGTATTGGTTATCTATCTTTCAGTATTTGTATTGGTTTTTCAAATCAATTTAACAATCTAATCTCATCAAGTGAACATTTGTATTGGTATCTTTACAATTTGAATTTACACAATATGAAAGCAAATGGGCCTAAATATTGAATGGCCCTTGAATTGTTAAGTCGATCTTTAATCAGATCCACTACGAGCGTCCCAATACAACTAGTGTTTTGCTTGTCCTTTTGGATTTTCAGTTTTCTTGATTAAAGATTGAACCAAAAATTAAGTTTCGTTTTTCTTTTAGTTTTGTATGTTTTTTTCTTTTAAAAAAAAAAAAAAAACTTTTCTTGGGATGCCTTTCTTATAGAATCTTTCTTGCTTCGATTTTGGTTATCATTCTTTTGGTTAGTTAATAAATTTCTATTTTTGTGGTTCTTTGAACGAAACCTGAGTATACATTATAAACGCTACCATCAAAATCATAATAAGTGTTTAAAGTAATGTGAATGCGAATTATCTCGACTATGTTTCACATGGATGAGCCAAACCGTTATTAATTAGCATAATGAGAGATGTGATTCATATTCATAGAGTTTGTTGGTGGGGCAAACTCTATTAAATTTTTAATTTAATGGAAATAAATAGGACAGTGAAGCATAACCAAAAGTATTATTCATCAGAATTTTTTGTTTAATAGTACTATATCTTTTGTAATAAATATTTGCTAAATTTATGAGGAGGAGGACGAATAAACTGATTTTTTACGTGTCTACATTTTTTTCGACCAAAAAATAAAAAAATAAGACGTGTCTACATTTTCCCCCTAAAAAGACAACAAATATGGTGGGACATTTATGACTATAAAAATATTCAACCTCTCAGAACCTAATCTACTACTTAGGATAGTCGTAGACTTTAGTGTTTTTTTCTTGGTCAACTAATAATAGTAAGATTTGTGTGGGTCAAACAAATATCCTTTGGGGGTGGTTAT